GCACAGTAGGATGGCCACTCTGGAAGAACGCATGTCAAATACAAAAGTAAATTCCAGAAGAATTCCAGATTTAAATGTCAATGGAAACATAAAACTTAAAAAAATCTCAGGGGAATAATCGACCTTGTGATGAGAGAAGCCTTCTTAAATAGGACAGAAAACTCAGACCCAGTAAATGAAAAAGGCAGACTATTTGACAACATATAATTTAATATTTTTATAGTAAAAGAAAAAGTCAAATAAATTTGGGAAAAATATTTGCAAGACAATTCATTTAAGAAATATTTTTCGAGCACATTTTATGTCATAGCTGCTATGCTGAGTAAAATATTGAGCAAAGGGTACAAGCCAAGTTTGATTTATTCTTTTATTATTTGTCTAAACAAATATTCCTGTATTCATGGTTTTTACGTTATAGTGGTAGATGATAGATATGAAAGATAACATACAGGATTCATACAAACAAGAGAGAGTGAGAGGGGAGAGGGAGAGAAAGAAGAGAGAGAATCCAGTGGTAAGAAAATATAAAAAGCCAATTCAAAGAATACAAAATAGCCATAACACATGAAATGACACCTATCACACCTATGTGGTGAAAACACTGCTTATTTCTTCCCAAGTCTGTGTTCAATGACCTTATGCTGGTGATTTCAACTTAGTCATGATGTAAATATTTATATCATGGAAATCAGCAAGTGCTATAGATCAAAATTGATTTATTATTTAAATTATCTAAAACAGTTACTACTTTTAAAAGTAACAGAGGAAAATGTAAAAAAATGCAGATTAAACTTAGAAGTGTGGCATGTGTGTGCTGTTACATGATGAATGGCACAGAACCTTAAGGAAATATTCATCCATTACTTGAAAACTATTATCCAATTGAACACAAAGTCAATCACTTCATTAACAGATGAGTGAAGTTTAGACATACATAGTGCTAAAACTGAAAGAATATTCAGGTAATAAATATAGTTTATAGCAGGATAAAAAACAGTTTAATAGTAGATCATATTTCAGATTTAATGACAATAAATTTATTGGGGAAAGAGTGAATTTTAATGGAACTCCATTTGCCAAGCCAAAGGTGAACAGCAATCATAGTTTGCATACCAATATGAGAGTTCAGTAGACTTTCCAGGTGGCTCAGATGGCAAAGAATCTGCCTGCAAAGGAGGAGACCCGGTTTTGTCCCTGGGTCAGGAAGATCCCCTGGAGGAGGGCATGGCGACCTACTCCAGTCTTCACGCCTGGAGAATTCCATGGACAGAGGAGCCTGGTGGGCTACAGTCCATGGGGTTGCTCAGTAACAATCACCCAAAGCCCTGTAATAGTCAACTGGCTATAAGGAACATACGATACACTACCACATACTCTATTATTATTTATGCTGTGTCTTTACTGTCAATAAAATCAATAAAGAACGTATGTGCTTATATGTAAAAAAAAATAATGGGCAAATATAATGGATATGCAGACAATGGAATATTATTCAGTGTTAAAAAGAGACAAGCTATCAAGCCATGAAAAGACGTGTGGGAATATTAAATGCACATTGCTAAGTAAAAGAAGCTAATATGAAAAGAATGCATACTGGATGGTTCCAAACACTCTAGAAAAGGCAAAACTGTGGGGACTGTGAAAAGATCAGTGATCCAGGGCTCAGGGGTGGGAGAATAAGAAGGCAGAGCAAAGAGGGGTTTTAGGGCAGGTTAGGGCAGGGAAAACTCTGCTATATGCTGCTATAACTAAGGATACATGTAATTATTTATTTGTCCAAGCTCATGGAATAGCAATGTAAATAGTGGACTTCTAGTGGTTATAATGTGTTGATAGACTTATCAATCTTACCAAGGATTCAACTCTAGTGAGGAAATGTTGATAGTACTGGAGGCTATACCCTGTGTCGGGACAGGCATATATGGGAAAACTATGAATTCTTTTCAGTTTTGCTATGAAATTAAAACTCTCCAAAAACTGTTTCATAAAAGAAAAATAAAGATGAGTCTAAGGTTTTTGAATAAGTATTAATAATTGGTACAGTTTTTCACTAATAAGAAAATAAATCTATTTTATTTCTGTCTCTGACCCTCATCTTGGAAGTTTTTACCTTTTCAAAGGGAAATTAAGTTGTATTTCAGGTTCAATGATTATATTTTTTATGCAGTATGAAAAAAAATTATCTTGAAGTCAATGTAACTCGAACTCTGTGAAACTATCTTAAGATTTTATATTGGAAAGAATAAGGATTATCACTAGAAACATTAACATATTTTATTACATGAATATTTGTACATGCCAATGATATAAATTATACTTGTATATTGAAAAATAAGCTCATTAGTCAGTTTAAAACATAATGTATTATTGTTTATTAAAATTCACATTAATTGAAAATGTTTAAGATGTACATTAATATTTGAAACCCTATTTGGTAATTTTGACTTTGCTAAAAAGAAATGAAAATAGGTTTTCATTCCTGTGACTTGTATAGATCTCTTTACACAAGGGACGTACAGTTTTGTATGCTAAGTATCAGACTGACACTTCTTGTTAATTTAGGAAGTGACTATTTGGAAATTTACTGTTGACTGTCTGTTTCACTGACAGAATGGCAGGGGTTCCTATTTAGCTTTACCAAATCTTACTAATGTATTGGACAGGTTAATGACATTCATGGAGATATAAAGAATTATTCTTGTTTGGGCTTACTAGTTAGAAAATGTAGCCATTTTCACTGTGAAAACCTACCCAATACAATTTTAAAATGATTACCCAACTTCAATCAGATTTATTCACATGCAGAAAAATTTTAAAGGTTTTGAATGAATGCCGAATATACCCTGGGCTTTAATTAGATGGAAAAAAATGTGATTTCTGAATGACTGTATTTATAACTTCTATGTATTTATATATACATCTCTCCATATTTCTTATTTTGTGATTTTCTGAGAATTTTATCACAATATTTTACAACATTTATAAATGCAAGCTGTCATATGTAGAGCTTTCTGAAAAATAAGCAGAAACATAGTAATTAGAATTTCTTTTCAAACAGAGTACACTGAAATTTTACTTCGTCACCAATGTTATTTTCAGGAAGTCAGTAACACTAACATTTGCACCATCTTTTAAAAATCTATAATTTAATTAAGATGTTTGCCTGCTGAAATTGTTGCCTATTACAGAATTTTTTATTAGTAATTAATTAGGATTAATATTGCCAACAGAAAAAGGTAATTTTACAATTAATATACTGCAATCTTTCTGTCACCACAAAGTATTAACAAAATTATATGCTACAAATATATGTATACTCAGTAGAAATATTACAGATAATCATCTTTTAAAAAGTCACTTATGTATTAATTGGAAAGTAGTTGCTTTACAATATTGTGATGGTTTTTGCCATAAACCACACGAATTGGCCATGGGTAAGCACGTGTCCCCTTCCTGATTCCCCCTTCCACCTTGCTGCCCACCCCATCCCCCTAGGTGTCGCAGAGCACGGGCATTTTGGGTTCCCTGCATCAAACATCCAACTCCCACTGGCTATCTATTTTGCCTTTGGTGATGTACGTGCTTCAGTGCTCTTCTCGCAAATCGTCCCACCCTCTCCTCCCCACTGTGTCCCAGAGTCTGCTCTTTATGTCTGTGTCTCCTTTGCTGCCCTGCACATAGGGTCATCAGTACTATTTTTCTAGACCCATAATATGGGTTAATATGTGATATTTGTCTTTCTCTTTCTGACTTACTTCACTCTGTATGAGTCTCTAGGTTCATCCACCTTATTAGAATTGACTCAAATGTGTTCCTTTTTATAGCTGAGTGATATTCCATTGTGTATATTTACCAAATTTCATTATCCATTCATCTGTTGATGGACATCAAGGTTGCCTTGGTATCCTATCTATTCGTGCCTTCCGAACAACAGTCTAAGAGGGATCCCTTTTCTCCACACACTATCCAGAATTTACTGCTTATAGAGTTTTCCATGATGGCCGTTCTGACTGGTATGAGATGATACCTCATTGAAGTTTTGATTTGCTTTTCTCTAATAACGAGTGATGGTGAATATCTTTTCATGTGCTTATTAGCCATCTGTGTATCTTCTTTGGAGAAATGTCTGTTTAGATATTCTGCCCACTTTCTGACTGGGTTTTTGTTTTTCTGATTTTGAGCTTTAGGAACTGCTTATTGTACTGGCAGAAAAGCAAAAATAGAGACCAACGGAGTAAGACAGAAAACCCAGAGATAAATCCACACGCCTATGGTTGCCCTATCTTTGACAAAGGAGACAAAAATATACATTGAAGAAAAGACCATCTCTTCAACAAGTGGTGCTGGGGAAAGTAGTCATCTATGACATTAGAACACTTCCTAACCCCATACACAAAAATAANACCGACTCGATGGACGTGAGTTTGAGTAAACTCCGGGAGTTAGTGATGGACAGGGAGGCCTGGCATGTTGCGATTCATGGGGTCGCAAATAGTCGGACATGACTGAGCGACTGAACTGAACTGAATTAAGCTTAAAAGCAAAGAAGGATACTATAAGCAAGGTAAAAAGACAACCCTCATAATGGGAGAAAATAATAGCAAATGAAACAACTGACAAAGAATTAATCTCCAAAATATGCAGATAATCATCTTTTAAAAAATATGTCCTTTCTAGGTTGGGAAACAGACTTTAGCTCCTTGAGAGGAGAACTTCCACACAGCTCAATTGGTATGTCTTTTATTTGACTCACAATAGCAGTCTTTCGTTTAAAAAAGGACCCTGAGGACAGGTTAGATTTTGCCCCCTCTCTGAACCTTTTGAATTGGATGTTGCAATGACCATGATGACAGCATTAACCACATTACCTAGGAGAAGCAGGATATAAATCAAGTGCAATCTGCATACATTAAAGCTTTATTTCAGGGATTGCCATAATGTATAGTAAAGGCAAAGAATAGGTGACTCAAATTCACCTCTATTCATTTTCTCTTATTAAGCCTCCTAACATGAAGAATGCTTCAATATTATTACCAATGTATGAACTGGCAAAATCATATAGGAGCAAAATACTTCAAGATGAAATAAAACTTTGCCATGATAGTGTCCAGAAAAGTAGTCAACACAATATATTTTGTCTTGTCCATGGAGTAGTTTTGTTACCATTCATCAGTCTCAAAATACTCGGGAATTGAGGGTAAGTTTTTAATGTATTTATTATCTTCTACTGTTCTTGGGGCACATCAGTAAGTGACACTGGCTAAGAGGCCAGCACATAAGCTTTGGCATACATGAAGGTACACAAAATTATAGTGGCCAAAGCGGAAAGAATGGGTGGCCACTGTCTAGAAAGATGATGTATACTCACAGTATTTAAAAAATATGACATTTTAGATACTATTCTCTTACACAAAAAGACAGATGAATTATTATTTTGTTACACTTGCTCTCTTTACCCCATCAGCTCTTATATTTGCTAAAACATTTTAAACATTCATGTCATTTAATGAAACATAGGAATGCTTTCTTCTTGACTATAATTATTAATAAAATTAACAATACATCTTGAGTTATTTGGTATCCAATTCATATTCAAATACCTATACTGTTGGGAAAATGTATTTCCACAATATTTTTGTAGAAATCAGGTTCAAAACAATGTTGATATTGCAGGAGGTTATTTTTCAAATCCTTTATAATCTCCAGCTGCCTTTCCCTCTTTTTTTCTATCCCATTATCTTATTAAAGAAACCAGATTTATGGTAGAAAAGCTTAACTTCTGGATTAGTCTGTTAGTGTCCTTGAAATGTCATTTCACTTGAATTGTTTCTCCATCTCTGTAATTATAGACAATTGAAAGTCATTTCTAAAGACAGGAGTAGATACCTGCTCAAACTTTTTTTTTTCTTTTGTTTTTACAGGAATCCTTTGAGCCGGTGCTTCCTACTGCAGGGTAGTAAGTCTCAAATGTCAGGTTATCTCATTCTCAGGGCCACTAAAACTGTTCAGAGAGTAAGGAGTGATGTCTGCCTCCTGCTTTGTAAAGCCCCATGTTAAATTTTTTTCCTAAGGATTTGCCTACTAATGATCTTTACTTGAATAAAATCTTTCATGGAAACCGGGATGTGTATTTCTCACAAACCTATACTCCACAAAACTTGCAGTATCTCTGCATTAAGCACTAGTCATGGTTTCCCCCTTCATGGTTATTTGAAATAACACTGTATTTGTGACCACAGATACTCACTATGTATTTCTTTTATCAGATAATTAGACATGCACACGTCTGATATCTGTCAGGGACAGAGTAATTTCAAATCTTTAAAATATAATAATATTTTATGCCACTCTTCAAATAGAGACTTATTGTCTTCTTAGATATCCCATCCAGAATGTTCACATGCCATTTTATTATCTGCACATTGCAATCTCACAAATTGGACCTTAGACAAGGGTAAGTGGACACTGACTATCTTGACACATTTTTATAACCTTATGGAGAAATCTGTGATAATACATATTGGACTTTCTTTTGCCTTTGGTTCTCTGTATAGCAAAAATTTATCAACTAAACTGCCTGATGTATACATTCATCAGTAGGGGCTTTTAAATATCTTGCATCTCAATACACATAAGCTAATAAATACTCCCCCCAAATTGGGAGTATTTATTAGCTTATTCTTTAGTTGACTTACGTATTAGCTTATTCTTTAGTTGACTTATGTGTTAGCTTATTCTTTAGTTGACTTAACTAATATTATTGAAGCATTTACTCTACCAGGAACTGGAAATAAAATAATGAACAAGGCACGGTCATTTTATTATCTGCAATGGAAGTGGTTGACAAGCAAAGAGGCAATTTAATACCACTGTCATAAGCCCTATAATAGGGACAAGAATCATTTGTATTATGACTTAAAAGAAGCACTTATTTGACTTTAGGATATAGTGAGTAGTTTTCTGAAAAGGTAATGTCTAAGCTAAATGTTTAATTAATTAACAAGTTGAAAGAGTTGGGGGTGGGTGGCCGTGCAGGAAGAGAGAGTTGCAAATACAGATCCATGATACAAAGTAAGCCATTGTGCTTTATGAAACATCAAGCGGTTTGACTAGTTTTGCTAAACTTTGAGTAAAAAAATGGAGCAAAATGAAAGATGATGCTGGAAGGTTGAGTTATTTAATTTACTTTTACGTGGCAAGGTGGACCATTAAAATATCTTAGGAATTAGTCCAGGTTTTATTTGAGGGAGGGCTTCCCGGGTGGTGCAGAGGTAAGGGCCCCACCTGCCGATGCAGGAGACACAAGAGACGTGGGTGTTTCGACCGCTGCATTGGGAAGACCCCCTGGAGAAGGGCATGGCAGCCCACTCCACTATTCTTGCTTGGGAAATCCCATGGAGAGTGAGCCTCGCGGGCTATAGTCCTTGGGTCCTCAAAGAGTCAGGCACAACTGCAGCGACTCAGAACGTAGCTCACTATTTAGTATGTGAACAGTTTGTACAAATAGGAACTATAACTTACTTATTTGAGGAAAAACACACTGTTTAGTGTGTGAAGAATATGCACAGTTAGGAACTAGAACTTAACTTAGTTGACAACTAATTATATTATGTTAAGTGCTACCCAAAAGCACATCTATAGATGACATATTTTCAAACAAAATAAATTTGATATCCATCTACCTTTAGTCAGTTGTTTTTTAAAAACAAAGATTAATACTATATAGTGAATTAAGACATTCAATTAATATGCATATACTTTGTGATGATGTCAGTTGGAGAATATATAAATCACTATATAGATCAACATGAACATATACTTCACAATGATCATTTGAAAATTATAACTATTTTAGTTGTTTTATATCTTAATGTATTTTTAACAGCAGATGTGTTTACTGATCTCTTTCACATTTTTTTCAACATTTACATTATGAGTTTTAATTTTTAAGGCTTTGAATCTCGAGGTCTTAATCACCCTTAGACATATATGGTGTATAAACCCAAGTTAAAGTGAAAATTGCTCAGTCATGTCTGACTCTTTGCCACCCCATGGACTGTATAGTCCTTGGAATTCTCCAGGCCAGAATACTGGAGTGAGTAGCCGTTCCCTTCTCCAGGGGATCTTCCCAATCCAAGGGTAGAACCCAGGTCTCCCACATTGTAGGCGAATTCTTTATGAGCTGAGCCACCAGGGAAACACATGTGTAAACCCAAACACCTAGTTTGTCTGCGTGTTTTTGATTGAGGGATGTATGGTACATTCCAATCTACCTGTTGTTTAAAAACTCATGGCTCTGCCAAATTATCTTGCCATGATTTTCCTCCAAGTAAAAGTAGATTGCCTTTCATTTAAACAAATACACTGTGTGGCTTTCCACATATTATACTAGAAGGCCTCAAGTTTACTTATTACAGCTTCCTCCCCTCATCTTTAAGTGATGATAAGAATTTGTTGTTCAGTAGCTCAGTCATGTCCGACTTTGAATCCCATGGACTGCAGCACGCCAGGCCTCCCTGTCCATCACCAACACCCAGAGTTTACTCAAATCCATGTCCATCGAGTCAGTGATGCCATCCAACCATCTCACCCTCTGTCGTCCCCTTCTCCTCCTGCCCTCAATCTTTCCCAGTGTCAGGGTCTTTTCTATTGAGTTGGGTCTTCGCAGCAGGTGGCCAAAGTATTGGAGTTTCAGCTTCAGCATCAGTCCTTCCAATGAATATTCAGGACTGATTTCCTTTTGATCTGCAGTTCAAAAGCATAAATTCTGCAGCCCTCAACCTTCTTTATAGTCCAACTCTCACATCCATACATGACTACTGGAAAAATCATAGCTTTGACTAGATGCATTTTGTTGGCAAATTAATGTGCCTGCTTTTTTAATATGCTGTCTAGGTTGTCCATAGCTTTTCTTCCAAGGAGTGAGCGTCTTTTAATTTCATGGCTGCAGTTACCATCTGCAGTTATTTTGGAGCCCAAGATGATAAGAATATCTATCTTGTAAATTTGTAACAGATATTAACATAGAAAAAAAGATTCAAGGAATTTGTTTAGCATAGTCCTTTGTACAGAGAAAAATTTCAATGATTTTTTATTTTTACAATTGTCTTTTCATTATCCTGAGTTCTGAACTCAGTTCATTATCCTGAACTCAATTATCATTGAGTTCAAACAAAATCAGATTTAAAAATATTTGAAAAAATTCCAGAAAATTCCAAAAAGTAAAAGTTGAATTCGCCATGCCATGAAGCTACTTATATAACATTTACTTCACATTATGCTCTGTAAGTAATCTAAAGATGACTTAAAATCCATGTACAAGATGATGTGCATAGGTTATATGCAAATACTAAACATTTTATATAAGGAGCTTGAGCACCCATGAATTTTGGTATCATAGTTGGAGGTGGTTCCCAGAACCAATGTCCTTCAGAATTTGGATGGGGGGCAGAGTCAAATATATTTTATCATAATTATGATTTTTTGTATGTTCAAGTAAGTGACTGTGATTCTTTAGAAACAGAATAGTTACATATTTCTATCACTCAAGAATTGTGGTTCTAAATACATTGCCTCTTTAAACACACTAATAGGTTGACAGTGATAATATATATGAAAGATTAACTAAATAATATTTAGTCATTTATCCTAAATAAGCAATGGCACATATATTTTATCTCATATGGAAACTGAAATCATTCATTAGCTGGCTAAGGTAGTTATGAGAAGGGTGATGAGCTATAGGCTCAATTTCAGAAAATAATAGAGAGGATGGATGAAAACATTTGTTTGTATGAAAAATATATTTGTATGTGAATGGACTACATACTTGAGTTTTCTTATTTTGAAAAGAAAATTAATTTTGCTAAATTTGCTTAAACCTGATGCACTTGGCACTAAGGACTAGGCATTTCCAAGAATACTTCTAGGTGACTCATTGCTATATTTATTGGAAGAAAGTTAATGCAAACACTGTTCAGACAGTATTTAGCTTCATTAAAAGCCAGTGGAGAAATGTCTCTATCAACTTCTTGCCAGGAGTCACTTGCCTTATCCTGAGTAATGAAGTTGATTTTAGAAATCCTGTAAATGCTTATAATATCTCTTACCTTAAATTTTTACTGTTAGAAATTTTAAAAATTGTTTTTTTTGTTTCAATCTTAGCAAACATAATAAGGGAGTTTTGTGAAATTATTTTTGTCTTTTGACTTCATTCTTGATTTAATTTTCTATTTCTTATGCTTTGCTGGTCTTTTTTATGTTTTGCCTTTCCTCATTCTTTCAGTCCTTACTTTATTTGTGAGTGAATGTGTGTGTTTGTATGTGTATATGACCTTAATTTTTCCTGAAAGAAGACCAAGATTTTAATAAAAGTTAGCTTTTAATAAAATTTAGTAAAATTAATAAATTTTAAATTCTTAGGAATTGTGGTGTAGTCATTTTTTCACATAGTGTGGGTTTTCATTAACTCATACTAAACAAAATTAAGTACTTATTCTTTAGGTACTTTTCCATATATTTGGGACCTCCCTGATAACTCAGCACATAAAGAATTCACCTGGAATGCAGGAAACACAAGAGAGACAGGTTTGATCCCTGGATGGGGAAGATCCCCTGGAGAAAGAAATGGCAACCCACTTCGGTATTCTTGCCTGAAAAATCCCATGGACAGAGGAGATTGGTGAGCTACATTTCAGATATTGGTGAACTGACAGTTAACAAGAAAAACACACCAAAAATCAGTAAAAAGGTGACAAAATAAAAATGAAAAAAAAAGAGAAAATAAAAAGGAAAAGATAAAATGAACTTTGTAGGACTCGTATATGAGTGATTTTGTTTTAATTTTTATAATGATGGATCCTACTTGATTGAAATAGACATGTATATCTCTGTTTAAGGAATCTAGAGAAATTGAAACACTGTGAAAGCAAAATCTATTCCTTTGATGCAAAAATCCATTATTTTAAATTAAACTTGCTATTTCTTAATGGAAGATAACTGCTTTATCGCGCTGTGCTGGTCTCTGCCACGCAGCAATGCGAGCCGTCCTAGTCAGGACACCCACCCCCCAGGACACGCCTCTGGGTGGTCACAGGCCTTCAGCTGAGCACCCTGGGTTACAGAGACGCTTCCTGCTAGTTCTCCACGTGGCACATGCTGGTGTGTATATGTCAATGCTGCTTTCCCCGTTTGCCCTAGCCTCCACTTCCCTCGCTGGGTGCAAGTCTGATCTCCACATCTGTCTCCATTCCTTCTCTGTAAA